CGAGCTGATGGAGGGTATAATTGTTTTTATAATAGACATATTTTTACCATAGCACATAGTTTTTCGTGTCATGTCAGTGCTTGTATTAATTTAAAGAAAAAAAATGTTTTGAATTGTGAATTCATCGTATACACACTGTGTCTTATTAGTAATATCGGGATGCCTATTTTACGTTAAATTTAAATACTGTGTATATATGCATACACTTACACATTTTTAACCATATAACATCATATTTCATATTTATCTATATATAAAGCAATGTATGTGGGATCTTCGACAAATTCCCGAAAGATACTTGCCCGAATGCCGTTTGCCCGAAGGCCGATTTCCCGAATGGACACTTGCCCGAATGCGACAAATGCCCGAATGGATACTTGTCCGAATGCGACAAATGCCCTTATGGACACTTGCCCGAATGCGACAAATGCACGAATGGACACTTGCCCGAATGCGACAAATGCCCGAATGGACACTTGCCCAAATGCGACAAATGCCCGAATGGACACTTGCCCGAATGCAACAAATGCCCGAATGCCACTTGCCCGAATGCCGTTTGCCCGAAAAATGTTAACATTATATATTACCAAACAGTCATTCGTAATCAATTTAAATTAAAAATTGTGATTAAAAAAATACACATCTTAACAAAAATACAGGGAAAAGAATTACTATAATATATCAACAGGCAGACAATCTTAATTCATTTGAATTTGCTATATAAAAAATGTACAAATATATTTTCTTTTCTAAGAAACAAGACCAAAAAAAAACATTTTCTTTCATCTTAGATTTTTAAATGAATCTTAGTTTCTTTATTAAGTTATTGCTTTGTTAAAGGTTATCGCTTTGTCTAAACAAAGTGCATTAAATGGAGCTAAAAAATAATAGGCTTTCTTTAGTTTTTAAATTCGCCGCCTAGACTTCGCCTCTATCCTTTGTAAAATGATCACCACACAAGTTAAGCATAACAAGATAAACAAACAATCGCGCCTCTGTTCAATGTAGCGTGACGCCGCACCGCCTACACCTTGTCATTAGAGCTGTATAACCACCGCAATACGTCGGCTAAACTAGGTGTTCAAAACTTTCATCACAAGAATGTTAAGACATCACCGCCAACATCACCATTGATTTATTGAATTATAAAGAATTATTTTTTTACAGCAATATCTAAGTCTAAAAAAAAAAAGCTAAATTTTAAAAATAGAAACAAATTTGTTTTTAACGCTTAGAATTGTGTTGTTTATCAAAATTTCAAACTTGAATTGATTAAGAATGTGTATTTGGAAATGTAATTTTTTTATTTAATATTTGCATTTTTCGGGAAAACGGTCTTCGGGCAAGTGGCATTCGGGCATTTGTCGCATTCGGGCAAGTGTCCATTCGGGAAATCGGCCTTAGGCAAACGGCATTCGGACAAGTGACTTTCGGGAAAACGTCCGGCCCCCATTTATGTGGGTGTGTGTGTGTGTGTCTTTTATGCATTACTACACCTCTCCTTACCTCGTCGTCAAACTTTGGGAAATATTGAGAATATTCCTGAAGAGGTTTCTGCGAAAAAGAATTTCAAATTCGCAGGGGTGGCGCCACGGCAGTGCGCAATTCGTTTTTCTCAAATTACGGTATACAGAAATAAAAGTAGATTGCAGTTTCCCAACGTTTATCCTATACCCATCAAACTTTTGGGAGTTGATTAAAACACTCCATGTAAGGTTTCGTTTCTGTTAAAAATATTTTTTTAATTTTGCAAGGTTAGCGCCCCGGGGAGGGAGCGCTTGAATTTTCTCTACATACGATAAATTAAAAAAAATGAAAGTCAGATGCGGTTCGACACGGTTTATCAGAGTGCCATAAAACTTTAGGAAGTTGATGAATATTCGCGAGGCGGTTGTTTCTGGGGTGGGGGGATGGATTAATTTCGTAAGCGCGGCACCCGGCAGGATGCAATTTGACGCCCTGGTCTTTCCCCTGAGCGCTATGCGACTACGTTCGTTATAAATAGTGTGATAGACAATGAATAAGATGAGCGTTACAGTCGCTCATTAAATTAAATCAGGCGTGTCCACCGGTGCCACGGTAGGATGCGATTTGGCTGCGAACATAACTTTCAATTTCGGCCCCCAAAGGCTCAAATGGGCCGCTGAGTGCCCTGTAATACATTTTTAAATAATCACATAAAAAACCACAATATTTGATATTTTACTGGGTTGTTTCCTTTTGTCCGTAAAAAAATCGTAACAGTTTCGTAACTTTGGGAATAATGCCTTTAGCATCTCTTTTTAGACGATCCAATCAGAAAATGAGATCGAGCATCTAATAATACACTATTAGTAATGCTAAAAAATTGCATCAGTCAAACTGATGTTTAACATGTCAAAAACAATTTTCTACGTGTTAAAGAAAAGACCCTGTTGATTTGTGTCACAGTAGCGAATGACGCAATCTGCATCATTGTTTCAGGATGCTATGTGGCTCTCTGGGTTATACTGTGAGCACAATGGCGCCTATGTTATTTTTAAGGATCTGGGGGTCGTACGCGGCGCCTCTGAAGTAGTGTAATCGGTGGACTCCCGAGAGCGCCCCTCTACGTCCCTGACACATGGGCAATCACCCGCATATTTCGGTGAGTGATTAACCGTACACTCAATGTTTTAATGCGGTAGTGTAGGTAAACCTGTGTCCCGATATTTATGATCTAAGTGCAGGCATTATTTACATTTAAATAAGTTGTTTTAGAAAAGAAGGTCACGCTTCTTAGAATATATAATTGGTAACTCATTGATGAACCCCTTCTTATATATTTCGTCAGATTTTCTAACCCAGACGGGTACGCTAGAATTATATAAAAAATATTATCTTCACAAAATAAGTTTTACAATATTAACATGTATTTTAAAATATATGGGTAAAACTAAAATATGCTTTGTTTTAATGAAAATATATTTAGTGTTATTTCTTTTTATTGTTCCAACTTTACCCACAGTGATTATTTTAAAGGGAGTTTTTAAAAAAATGTTTATACGTAATCAGCGGTATGTACATAATTAACTAATAATTATATTATCATTGTGACGTGATCGTCTAAAACGATAATGTAGGCTCTAAGAAGAGAGAAAGTGGCATCCCCTTAAAAGTGCTAGATAGGACAAGTGTGTGAACGCTAGGGACGAGGAGGAATGTTGTGGGGTGGGAACACGGTGTCATTTCTTGTGTTGAAAAAATGACATGTGAATTGAACGTATTCTGTTCGATGATTGTGTTCTACTTGATCTTGTGGTGAAAATGACATGTGAATATTCTGTTCCTTCTACTTGATCTTGGCACCCCTGGCGCAATGAGTCTACAGAGCCAAGTGCAACAAGCATTATTTTTCTAGCCACCAACATGTGTAGGAGATGTTACAAGTGTTAAATCTTTGTATTTGAGAAATCAAGTTTATTTATTCATTTATTTACGGTGCTTTATAAAGCTTATAACTTTATAGTTTTTAAAAAATACTTATTCCATTATGGCCGTTTTTTTATAAATCCAGATCAGAGACCCTTCGTCACGTTTTTAGTTATAAGTGTTAGCGTGATAAATAAAAACGTGTTTGTAGAAAACGTTTTGTTGACTTTTTTGGTATTTTTTCTATAACAAGGTGAACAACTCAATGTCAACATCCTAAATCAACGACAAATTATTTCCTGGATGATTTAATTAAGTAAAAAATGTATTGGTAGGAAGCGGTGACAACTGATGTAAAAGCAAAATAGTTTGCACATTTTGAGGACCAATTGCAATTTGCAAGCAAAAATCAATAGGAATAAAGTAAGCATGAGCTAAACATAAAAACATGCATGTGCCTAGTTAAATAAACTAGTTAGTAGGAAAGTAACAATGCTAGTTAAATTTTACTTTTTAACCTAGTAGTCAATAGAGCAGATGAAGTAGAGTCCACGTGTTTCAATACCTGTGTCATAAAACATGATGTTGTTGTCAGTTCTACTCCCAACAGCTTTTGCTTTCCTTAACGTAAGTCAGCTGGGTGAGCTAGCTTTACAAGTTCAATTCTAATATTATATGTATATTAGCTAGTAAATAACATATAAGTTACATTATTTGGGGGATCGAGACAACACGTTCTTATTCATTTGATATTGTTAGGCTCTCAGTTGTGTAATCTTTCAGTTGATTTGACCCAATCGAAATCTTGAACTGTTTATTAAACTACACTTCGTTTTTAGATAAGTTGTTCGTAACCTGGGTAAGATCGAACCTCAGGGGTTCGGTGAGTCAGTCGTAGAAGTTCGGCGGTGGTTAACACACACCCAAATAATATGATTCGTGATCAGATTGCGTAAGTGTGGGCGATAAACCTTTTGAAGGGTTCAGTTGATGCGCATATGAGACTGGTGGGTTCGGTTTTTACATATGTAGAACTGGTGGGGTTCAGTACCTCCAGAAAAAAACTGGTGGGGTTCGTTACCTCCATTACGTCAAGAACCGCTAATTTGAAGCTTATCCTGTGGCTGATTACGATGCTGATGTTAACGTTGATGGTATGGAAATAAAAACACAATAACACAGCAACACAATGACCAATGCCCCGATATCACTGACAGCAAGACACGGTTATCTTTCGACCGATTGAACACCTGCATTTGAGTGTGCTCAAGTGTTCAGGTTGAGGGTAACGTTTATCATGTGTTGTTGTTATACTTCGTGTGACAATTCGCAGTTGGGGTAATAAGGTAGAGCGGGCGGGACTGTCTGTTTGTTACAGTGAATTGTGAATACTGTATTTATTTGTGGAATACTTTTCTTTCATTACCTTAAGGATTATATATTATGTACTTTCTACTTTTCTGTAAATTGTACGCTCATGCTGTATAGTAATTATGCCTATATTCATATTGTTTTCTGCATTAAACTGTTACGGTGCTTTATGGATTGTTATAATAGCAAATTTTTTTAGACAAACGTTGAAGACAGCAAAATACACTAAACCATTAAATTTAACTTGAGTTGTGTCGGCTTTTGCATAAACCCATGCCTCGTACAGTCTCCCTGTATTTACTGCTCATCTTGTAGTAGACGATGATGTTGACGCTAGAACACACGGCCTCCATCAGGTAGGAGATGCTGTAACACAACAACGCCAAGTTAAAGTAGATGCCGCCGTTACCCAACCCAGGAACCTGACTGACAGCTGATAGGATTGCTGACTGAGGAATGAGGCAGACGATGAAGATGACAGAGACGACAGTCAACATCAGGACAACTTTTTTCTCTTTGTTAGACACGAACTTCTCTTTGTTCATGTTTTGATGTGAAACGGAATTTAGCCATTCGGATCTTGATTTTAGTTTTATGGCGATGATGGTGTTGGATAATATAATCGTGAAAAACGTAAAAAATGGGACAAAGACATCAGTCACGAAATACGAAATGCCAAAAATATCGTACGGATTTTGCCGATAAAGGGATGCAATCATTGTTTTATTTAACTCAGGAACAAATCTCCAATCTAGATAAACAACGTAATATACGGGAAACAGATCCAATAGCATTATTATAAATATAAACACGTTGACAATAACTGAAAATCTTTTGGTTACAATTTGTTTGACTTTAAGGGGCACCAAAACACACAGACATCTCTCACACGACGCGAAGGCTGTGACCAACCCACACACACGGATGAAATAATTGTGTGGGAAAAATGCCACCATAGAAAATAAATCTGTTTGTAGAATGGGAACATCCGATCTCAAAAACCAAGGGTTGATGAAGACACTGGCCAGTAACACAGTGACCAACGCCCCGATATCACTGACAGCCAGAGCAGTTAAAGTTATATTGACGCTGTCCTCATAGCCCTGCTTGTAAAAGACGATGATGTTGATGATGTTTCCAAAAATTCCTAAAACACCCATAATGTTCCCACAGACTGAAGTGTTAAACGTTATGAATAAATCCCATAGTAAAGGATGAATCCATATCAACACAGATGTTTCTAAAAATACTTCATTTCCAAATTCGTAAGTAAATGTTTTATTTTGAAAGAAATTCTCAAGTGTAGTTAATTCAAACATTTTGATCGTAAAGTCTGTAAGTTTAAGGTCGCGTTCTTTTACTGTTACTATTTAGAATGATACACTCCGAATAAAATGTTTACGAACTCATTTAAAGAAAGGACTATGATGCATCTACGATTGTATTAATTTTTTTTCCTTTTCCTCAGAATAAACGTTATCTTAATATAACTGCATTTAAATAGTCACTTTAAATATTTGGAGATATTTATATTTTGAAAATGTGTTTAATTTTAATAATCAAAGCAAAATTATTGTTCAGTCGCTTAATAATTAAGTTCTTGTTTTAATTCTAATCTAAGAAACTTTCTTAAACAAATTTATTGTGTAATACCATTATTAACTTTGATAAATTATTAATCTTTTGTTTAAATTATAATTGTGCTCTGTATCACGTGACTTCTGTTTGCGATCATCGTGTCTAGTAATTAGAAACACAAATTAACTGTTTCAGAAAACATACATTATATTTGAAGACAGTAATAAAAACATACGTTCGATAAACTCTAAATATTTTGCCTACAGCTATTATTAATCGCTCAATATTAAGCAATTTTGACGTAATGATGGTACATTTAACCAATTACTAGAAATACGAATTCTCAAGGTTTGTAACAGTCTATTGATTTATATTTTTAGCACAGTACAGTATTTACTCGAATAATTACGTTACTTTACCGTATTAAAATATGTCATTGCTTTCTTTTAGGACTGTATTTAAATTTGTTTAAATATGATTTTCATGTGATATTATTCTTTCAATTCACGATTCTACCCATTTCAGCAAATATGAAACTGAATGTCTGAGATCAGTTATTAAATCAGGTGGACAAGCGAACAATTCCTTCTAGCTGTGTTGCAAGAATGCTATGCTGTGATTGGTTTTCTTCATAAATAGAATATAAGTGTATTGGCAAGTTGTTGCTCTAAAACGAATCCATCATCAATGTATTTTACACAAAGCCAATTAAAACACAAATGGATTGTAATACTTGAGCATGTAACTATATCTTAATTATTTTATTTACATTTATTCCCTCAAGTTGCAATACAAAATAAAACCTAGTATAACACGGGCTTGTTTATATAATGTATTTCCCATACATAAATTTTAATGTATTTAAAAATAAAATAAATTCACTAAATATGTATTAATTTCAATTAGTGACAACTGCGTGTGTATATCTAAAGTAGGATTACATTATAAATGGATGTATAATGTTGCAAATTTGTGTGTGGATAACACACTGTTCTTATGTTTCAGGAAAAAAAACATACCAATTGTTTGGAACATTATTCGGAAATTAGAAACAACCTTTACTGATTTTGAAATAGTGCTCAAGTTTCCAGGGAATATGTTCACTGTTTACAATAAAACACACGACAAAATATATTAAAACACTATTACTATAGCTAGATAGGACGGGATTGTCTAAGCGGTCTGGGATGCAGATTCGAAAGTGTCGAGTTCGAATCCGGGTTCAAGTCAGTTGAATATTCCTCAGTCCACCTAGCTACGATGGGTACCTAATTCATTTTTGGGAATGTAAAGGCGTCTGGGCAAAGTGCTGATCGAACCTTCCTATTATATGCCAAGGTCAAGAAACATATTAACTCTACTTCATTTGCCTTATGGATCGTTAGGTCTAAATAGTTTTCTTTACTATAGCTAGAATACAATACAGAGTTAAACTACTGGTAAGGCTTGTGAATCATGGTTTATGTGGCCTTCATACAATTAAATCCAAATAAAATGTTTTGAAATATGTTTGGCACCATACCTGTGGAATAACTTTTTCTTATTATAACACAAAAAAATAATAAACATTCGTAATTACAACATAAAAACATGAATGATTTGCAACGCTTTCTGCGAGAGATCAATTCATTTTAAGCCTGTGGCAAAAGAATAATGTTAACGATTCACGTGAAACCCAATGTTAGTACACAATATTGAAAAGGCAATTTAATGGTCGTCGTGAAGTTAATTGTATCTCAACCTAGAAATAATCTGTTGGCTATAGGTTACATTGCATATTTTACTCATTTGTAAATCATTAAAGACTATTTGTTTTAAATAATAAAGTACATATAAAGAAATTAACACCCTTAAACACTATTCAATTTTTTTCCTGTATAAAGAGGATTTATAATTTAAAAAAAACGTTACCACGCATCGAACGTTTAATTTCTTTTATTTAAAATGTGTCAACTGAAGAACTAACTATATTTTTTAAAGTAGGGCTCTCCCTTTCAGAACTAACCACACACATGTAAGATGAAGTAGAGTTCTTTTGTTTTTAAACTAATTACATGACTGAATGGTGTGGCTTGCAATAAGCACAGCCGCTTTTCCTTTCATTTTCCCTATCGAGTTCAGAGTACCCATAAGAGCTGAGTGGACTCAAGGGCGTCCTCCAGACTGTAGTCTACACCGAGATACGAACTCGAGACCTTTGAATTAGCAATCGAGCGCTCTACTATCTAACCACGCCTACCAATCACTAAAGATATGGTATTATTCTTTGTTGACAGAATTCATGTATATCTGTCCATTACATCAGTGGTGCTATAATATTAAAGGCAGAACTGTGATAACAGTAGATGATCAGCCTCAGCCATTGATTGTGTCTCCTCATAGTGGTGTTCTCTGTGTTAGAAATGTCTACAAAATAATAACTGGTAATACGAGTCTGTTATTTTTTTTAGTAAACTTTAGCAATATCAACACACATCGAGTCTGTCAACGCGTAATCATAAATAATGAATTTATTTTTAATTGTAAACATTATTTATTAAGAAGGGATTTTTAAAAATTTTATTTAAAATTTAGACTTTATAAACATCATGGAATATGATCATCTAAAGTGTTTTTAAAATGGGTTGTTTACATAAACAATAAAGAGATTATTATTCAACACTTTAGGTGCATGTTTTTTATGAATAGTGATGTATATAACAGATAAGACATTTTGAATTCATATGTTTTAAACATGCATCTCTTCTCTGTAGCACGTAATAATTTCACTTTTTTTTCTTTACTGTTAAAAAAATGTTAAAAATCCGGATATCAGATATATTCTTATCATAGGTATAACATCCATTGACAAAATAGTTAGTTAAATTTCATTTTGCATTGAATGAAGGCCATGCTACGAATCGTCTCCCTGTATTTACTGCTCATCTTGTAGTAGACAACAATGTTGACGCTAGAACACACAGCCTCCATCAGATAGGCAAAACTGTAACACAACATAGCCAGATCAAAGTAGATCCCACCGTTGCCCAGCCCAGGGACTTGACTGACAGCTGTCAGGATTGCTGACTGAGGAATGAGGCAGACGATGAAGATGACAGAGACGACAGTCAACATCAGGACAACTTTTTTCTCTTTGTTAGACACGAACTTCTCTTTGTTCGTGTTTTGGTGTGAAACAGAATTTAGCCATTCGGATCTAGATTTTAGTTTTATGGCGATGATAATGTTTGATAATATAATCGTGAAAAATGTAAAATACGGAATAAAAACATCAGTAACGAAATAGGAAATACTAAAAATGTTGTAGGGGTTTTGCCGAAAATGAGAAGCAATTATAGATTTATTTAACTGGGGAATAAACATCCAATCAAAATATACAACGTAATACACAGGGAAAAGATCTAACACCATGATAAAGAAGATACAAATATTGACAATAACTGAAAATCTTTTGGTGACAATTTGTTTGACCTTAAGGGGCACCAAAACACACAGACATCTCTCACACGACGCGAAGGCTGTGATCAACCCACACACACGGATGAAATAATTGTGTGGGAAAAATGCCAACATTGATATGAAATCTGTTTGTAGAATCGGTAGGTCAGCTTTCAAAAACCAGGGGTTTAACATCTCGTTAAACATCAACACAGTGAGCAACGCCCCGATATCACTGACAGCCAGAGCAGTTAAAGTTATATTGACGCTGTCCTCATAGCCCTGCTTGTAAAAGACAATGATGTTGATGATGTTTCCAAAAATTCCAAAAACTGCAATGATATTTCCACAAACAGTATTGTTGAAAGTTACAAAAAAATCCCAGATTAAGGGATGAATCCAAATTGACACTGATAATGATGTTTCTACCTTCATTGCATCCACTAAACTGCTTGCATTCGTTGTGTTTTGAATGAAGTTCCCTTGCAAAGTTATTTCAATCATTGTTGTTAAAATAGCTTTAAACCCAGCAAGAAACTTTTCATTACTCTATTAGATGGGTGGTTTGATAAATGAATATATCTATTCTTAACACATTTTAACACACTTTTAACAAATCCACGGGGTTTTGTTTTAATGAATCAAATGTTTGCTTTTTATTTAATCTAAATATAATTATGAATTGAATCAATAAACGTCTGTGCGCGTTTTTAATTAACTTATTTCTCATTGCCTTATTTAAACAAACCTACTGTCATGTGATTTCAGATTTCGATTTTTCAAAATTATATGATACGTTGTAAACGAATTTAAGGACGATTAAATAAATTAAAATTGATTAAAGCCTAATAATTACTTTACTGTAATTATAGTTATGAATCCAAGTAAACACTCTATTGCAATTTTCATGGGTCATATAATTAACACTAATGATTTTGCTTTTTTAAATAAATGACTGTAATTTTAAAATGATATAAGACTAATTCGTTACTTGAATATAATTAGTTTATTATATTTATGTATTTAGACGTAATTAGGGAGAATTTTAAAATAATTAAATAATTAAATAATTGTTTTCGCAGGGAAATTCACAACGGTGTTTTAGTTTATTTTTTATACAAATTACATACCGTATTTACTAACT